CCACTAAGACTGCTGGGAATGCCAAGCTGCCTCAGAGTCCCTAAAGGGGCGAATGTTAACATGCAGGCTTGTGTGGGAATGCTTTCAAATACTGAATGAGCTAGACAGGGACAATGATGTATAATAATATGAGTGCTTGGCCACTCGGGTGTTGAGGGTAACGAAAGGACTGATTTTCTAGCCAACAGAGGGACCATGGTAGGTCCTGAACCGTTCTGTGGCGTACCAGGAAATCATATTAAAGGGATGGTACCGTAATAGGCATAGAATCAACCCGACTGCCCATGAAAGCAATCTGCAGGACAACGGCAGACAACAAGATTCATAAAATCTTCCGGTATGGTACACAAACTACTGCAACGAAGAAGAAGGAAGCTACGTTTAGTTACCGGCTTTTACACGTGTCATAATTGCCACAGATACCATCTGAAAAACATTGGTATGTTTGATAAAGATTCATGAAGTTTCTGCCAAGCGGAATTCATAGAAATCCTAAAACTGTAGGTGTAAACGCATGGACGTGTACAATAGATCTTCTAGGTCGCGGTACGGCTTGCCCACGTAATTAATAAAAACAATTTTTACTTTATTATTCGCTTCTCACAGCTAAACTTACCCCTCTTTCACATCTAAATCTGTCAATAGCTTAGTCAGCAGTTACATTGAGCAAAATTCTCCCCCATTTCATACAGACGAGCTTTGGGCTTCTCTTTTTATAATTCCTCTCTTTACTTAAATTGAAGAAATAAAAAAATTATATTAGTGGTATTCGACTATTCCATGGTCTATTGCTTTTTTGTAAGGAACAATGGGAAAAATCGACCGACCGAAACCTCCTGCACGTGTATAGACGGATGTTATAAGTTATACAGATAAATATCAAAAGGTACGATATCAGATTGTACACTTAACACAATTTTTCGCTGTGGCTTCAGTTCTATAATATACATAAATTGTTCGGCAAATAGACATATTTTATCGATTAGGTCAAATTCAGGAATTGTTTCGGCAATTTCCTTTAGGTTAAACCCATTTTGTCGATAAGTTGCAGTGAGCATACCGTTCGAATTGCTTCCCGTTGCACATATTCTTGGTTGTATAAGTGGTATTACCGGTGTTATCACTTTGACGCTTGATTGTTATAAGCAAGTCGCTCATCATATAAGAAAATTGATTAATTTGTTCTTGTGAATCCATCTGCCGCGTCACCCATAACAATTTCCACATCCTCATCACTGTATGTTTTGCTAATCTGTTGATCAGCTCAGCTTTTAGATCTCGTTGTAGGAAGATTTCTTTTTCGCAGAACTTATCTTAGTTTGTTTGTGTTATATGCCACCAGCTTCAGTTCTTAATCATTTTAATTGTTCTTTCTTTGTTGTTTTTATAAGTTGCGCTGTGTTTCGTTTTTTTTGTTCTCTTTTGAGATTCTGGGCGAAATATATTTTGTTTTTTTTTTACAAACTTGTTCATTCATTTTTAATAAAACTTAAATACGCGATTTTGATCTCGCTTCTAAAGTAAAAGGGGAAATAAGCGAAGGATGAATAAATAATTTAAAATTTTAATTTATTAGTATCCATATATATTAAATTAGTGTGTAGAGAAATAAAAATATGATCAGATTCGATTTAAGGAAGAACAGAGCTTTATGATCCTTCCTCGTCGACGAACACGAGCAACTGCTTACACTTATCTTTCTTTTGTCTATATTTGCATTGTTGTATCTAGATAGAGATATAGATTAAATACGTATTCCAAAGAATTGAACCGAGGGATTCTTTGAAGATAACAAACGCTACAATATACTCCCAGAATTTTCGTTTTAAAATTTGATTCTCGGCGTATTTTACAGTTTCTATTTTATTATTACATCGTAACATATATATAGATATGTTTGCATCAAATTTTATATATAAATTATAGATAAATAAAAATAAAACAAGTGAGAGTATTACCATTGACCAAGGCCACCCCCTTAGACAGTTATTCGCTCGTTTTGGTAATAATACAACAAAAATTCTCACAACCTCATATGGTGTGAACCAAATTTGTCAACCCTAACTTACTTTCTAAAAATTTCATAATTTTTCAGTTTCCGTCATAAAAAGGTAGAAAAGAGACTTTCTTTCTATATAAGGGCTTGCTTTTCATGACATCTCCTATATATTATTACGAAATGGTTTTCTTGATACGGGTCATATCACTAGATCGTGGTTTTATTTACAATCAATTTCTTTAAGGATAGGTTAATTTACAGTTTACTTAGTTTGACAGCATTTTTAACTTAAACTTTCTTTTCGACTCAAATGTTCTTTTGCAAGCTGATTCTTTTCAAATATTTTGCTTATATAAGCAAGTTTTCGTTATCGCCTAGGTTGCTCTAAAATTTATTTAAATAACTACTTTAGATACACGCGAACATAGATAGTTTTACTACTCTATTGGTTAAATACAATTGGTGTAATGATGTGGTTACATAAAACTAACTCTAATAGACAAATACACGACTGGTTATACTGAAGTGGCACCAACACCAACACATTATGAACATACAATGGTTACAGTATCCAGAAATTCTCACTATATATGAATGGAAGATAATTGCAAATTTTAACAGCTTGCGGAACCCTCCTTAATACAAGTAATCGTCGTTTGTTGTCCGCTTAAATAAGCAAACAAATAAATCAAAAAGTCCAAAGCGAAAAATCGTAAACAAATATATAAAGTTACAGTTAAAAGATTTTTGTTATACAATAGAAAATTTTGCTTTGTATTAATGGTTGTTTTATCATGTACAAAATTCTTAACAAAAAGCCAATCGTGGACAAAAAACATGTTTTTGTTTTATATGTCGAATTATTCATTCGAATTTTATAGAGAAGATGAGTTTTTATGGGGTCGTTGGGGAGAACATAATCAACCTCAACATATAACCCAACTAAGAAAGTATTTAAGAAAAACACACCAAGAAACAACCAATGAAATTCAAAATTAAAATAAAAAAATTCATAACCCCAAAGTTTACCGAAATAAATTAAACAACCAATAAGTACAATAATATCACAAAAATGAATGCGAAGGATTAAGAAAAACTAAAAACTTATTAAGCTATTGGATATATAGGTATTATCATTAACAGACCAAACCCTTCATCTTAAATACCCAAAAAAAAAAAAGCCAAAAGTTATACAAAGCATGACAAAACTCTACTACTATATGATATTCCATAAAAAATAGAAAACAAGCTATAAAGACGATTTGTTTTCAATATAATATTTGTTTCCCAAATTATTTGCATTGCATTTTATAGGTAATCTTTCAATAAACCTCGCAATTAATATGGTACATTTTTGGATATGTCTCCATCCACCGTGCAGCTGGGATGCGAAATACTTCATCTATAACTTGCCGTGCCCCGGAAAGACGTGTATTGGCAGTTTGTTTGGCATGGATTGTAATAAAGTAACTTGAAAAAAATGCCGAGGAGTAACCATATAAGCAGACGATAATGAAGTAGGCAACAATGACCAAGAAATCTAGACACTAATTATATGTAAGTGTTAATTTCCGAGTTTCGATATTTTTAGCGGCATTTATGCGTAGTTGTTGCAAAAAATGCTATCTCAGAATTGTCAAAACCGGCGTAAGCAGCATTGCTGACGCTTTGCGCTAATGGTTGTTCTGAGTTAATATTTGTTGTTTAGAGCTGCATTTATAAGCGAAAACAGATGTAAACTGAAGTAAGTCGCAAAACAAAAGTTTTACGTTTAGGAAGGGTATGTAAATTAACTCCTTTTTTTTTGCTTTTTAATCCAGTTGGCTAACTAACCAAGCGCAAATCATCAAACAACAAGTAATAAAAGTTTATTACTGTACTGGATATATTTGTCTAAACAAAACTAAACTGAAATTAGTAAAATCTTATTATTGAATCATCAAGTAATGCCAATTTGCCAGTAGAGGAATATTGAGATTGGCGGAAAGGGAATCTTGTAAAACATATCGGAGGTCTTCGTGGCTCTTCAAATCCTTTTATCTAACCTGAGAATGTAAGTCAAGGACCATCTTAACAAAAACTATAAATTCACGAACTGCTCTAATAAATAAAATAAGCAAACGTAGCATTTCATAAACAATGAGTGTCATACAAATGCATTGTAAACACTTCTCACCAATCTAATATTTACAATGAACGTTACTCCGTTTCGATAAAAGTGCTGACTGTCAATTATTGGACAAACCAAAGGTTTCCTTTAAGGTAGCTTGTTAAAACAAAAAATTAGTTCATTACCAAACTTCAATCGTTTCAACACCTAAAGTTCCTCAACCCAAAAAAGAAAAAATTGTTTAATAAAGTAAAACTAAAATTGTGTTTTAATTAATGATAATTTAGTGCAGAAGGATCAACCAAGTACTAAATAAAATAAAAACTTATTTAACTTGTATAAGCAGATAGTTTCATGCATTTGTCAAATCGTAAATTCCAATATATATTCCATATTGTTTACATGTAGATTTCTGCAAAATTCTCGCGTGTCAAAAGAGGCTTTTGATTACATTTTAGGAAAGACGGTTTAAGTCACAGCAGCAAATGCAAACCAGCATGCCTCCAGGGATCCATTTAGCTTTTATTTGGCAATGGTCTGGAGGCTATCAATGAAGAATATTTTATAAACCGAACAACCATTCATTTTGCATCAAGAGTATAAGCCAAAAAAAGTTATCGCAAACCTCTCTCTTAGAGTTTGTAGAAAAGCAGCTGTAAAAGAAAACTTTAAACAGCTATTAGAAATTAATTATTTTTCATTTCGAAAATTAAAATTTGTACGATATTGAATTTGTGAATTGTGTAGAAAAAAAAAACAAAATTTTGGAAAAACTGCTATTTTATTTATATTAGCAACTCAGTGGTCATGGGTTCAAATCTCAAGTGCGGTAAAGTTTTTAATAAAGCCGATAGACTGAGAAGCTAATGCTTTAAGACTTTAGTTTTAGAATTTATTCTTTAGCTAAATTAATAATTAATAATAATAATAAGTGATGTTAACCAATGTACACATTTCCAATTCAATGTACCGTAACTTTCTTTTCCTCATTGAAGAGGAGAACAGGGACAACCGCGACGCATAAGCAAAGGATCATCACGAGTTAGGCGAGAAAGGGTTTGCGGGATGTTTCTGACTCCGTAGCACTATCTTAAAACAAGCAAGCAAATTATTTCTAATATTTCCAAACGACATATAAAGTAGATTTATGCAGAAACTCCGCATTTTCAAAGCAGGTTTTTACGTCCTGCAAAAAATTTTATGAGTGGCGGATGTTGCGCTTAGCCATGACTTTGGAGTTGTTAACGTCAGGAGGTTACCGGTCTTCAGCAACCATACCGTAAGTGTTGCACACAGCAACAATGTTTAATTGCTCGGTAAGCAGTAAAAAAATTTAAGCGCCAAAAAACAATACCTTTCTTATTTTTTTTTTCAGGTGACAGTGGATACCCCCTACATCCTTTCCGAAGTGCAACGGATTTCCTAAAACACATTGTGGAAAGATGTATTGGTTTGCATAAAGATTATTATTACGGTATTTATTATTTCGAAAATCGAACTACAATTTTTGGACATTTGTCGAGCTCATTGACGTATTTTACAGGAAGAGCGGAAGAGCTGGTAGAACGCAAAAAATCTGGAAAGAGTCCCAAACGTTTGTGCAGCTCTGTACCTCATACACGTCCGCTACGTAGTGGAAGAAGATTGCTTGAATACTCCGCCACTCCAATGATCTATGAAGATGATGATGTTGATATTTGTGTGGAAGCATCTTAATTGAGACAGTTGGGGGAGGAAGTTAGAGAATTACAGGAAAGAAATTTACAGCCATCTTCAAGAGACAAATCATTTTTAAAGTTGTAACACGCACAAAAATTACCCAAAAAAATAAATATATACTGACCAATTTTTGATTGAAAAAACTTTTTATATAGTGGCAATTAAATATCAATTTCTTATAAATCCAGTATATCGATTACCTATGGGCTACCATACATAATGCAGTAGATAGACACGCGATTGTCAAGTCTGTGATAGCGGGTTCGAATATCAGTGCGGTAGACCATATCTTATAAGAAACTGTATAACACAGTTACATTGCCTTATGCTCGCCTTTCCAGACGTATGTCCGCCGTTCTTTAATGTTTATAATATTGTATAATGTTTATTATTATTATTATTAATTTCGCCCGAGAAATAAATTCTTAGACTAAACTCTTAAAAGCACTAGCATCTAAGGCTATCGACTTTTATTAAAAACTCTACTACACTTGAGATTCGAACCCACGACCATTGACTTGCTAGTCGAGATTCCTCGCCTTCGGCTACTCAGGCGGATGTGTATAATGTTTAATTTATCATTGCTGTTTGCTTTTCTGATTGATATTTTTTGATAAATCATGTCATAGTTTTAACACTTAGACTTAAGTCAAATTTACTAATACTTTAAACCTAAGAATATTCTAAGCAAAAACTTGTCTATTTTGGAACTGAAAACTATTCACTTTACCATGCTTTGATGAGCTGCTCTAATAAAGTTTAATTTGAAACTTTTTCACCTTAAAGTGTTGCATTATATGGCTGCATCAGTAACTGTAGACAGAGATTAATAAAACAACATAAATGAATAAATAAATAATCATTTTAATATTTACACTTATCTATCGTTTTATAGCCTAACACCAACTGGCTACATATCATATTGCATGCTTTTTAATGTTTACCATATTTACCTTTCTTATACAAAACAATGGAAAATTTGAGAGTAAGTATTGAAAAGCTTACGACAATCGTACACGATTAGCCTCTTGGCGATATTCAGGCCGATAGTTGACTGCTTATGTAATTACACCCCCGGCTTTTCATATGTAATACTACATTTGCTCAGCGACGATGCGCTAAGGATACAATTGCAATAGCATCTAATTGCAATTGTAGCTAATTAAAATAATAATGCAGTTATTGCGAATTGACTGATTGAGGAATGAATAGCTTATTTAAAATTTTTCGTGCCTATGTACTATTTTACATTAACTAAATTTCATAATATGCTTTTACAAGTTGTACTTACCTTAATTTAAGTATTATGATTTAACTTATTTATAGTATAGTGGGTAAATAGCATATTATTATTTATTAATTTAACTTAAACAAAAGTCAATCCTTATAAGTGACATAGAATTCTACATTACAAGTTCACTGCAGTCAGGTACTATGTGTTCACTGTACTTTAATGTGTTTTTTTATTTTTTGTTGGCATGTTATATTACCTTGTTTTATATGAAAGTAGTATGAAGAAGTATTGTATTGTATTACAGTCAGCTACATATCTAAGAAATCACGGTGGATATGGGAACATTTAAATGCATTCATAATATAGGAATATTTACACGTGTGTGAAAAAAAGCCGAAACTGTACATCGTATTAAGTGTTCTTAAAGTTGATCTTTGAAAAGTCAACAACATATCAAAATTTCATGGGTGCATCGTTACAGCTTTTTCAAATTTTTCATTATCGTGCAGAAACGTTTGTTCAAGCGATGATGAAGAACTCCCTCAATATCTTGTCTTTGCATTTTTATGTTTAAGCCATTCTTTGTTTCTTTTAATTCTGTTAGTAAAGTCGGAAATCATACTCTTTCTTAATTCTTTATTTTACTGACCTTTCAAAAACCTCAATTATTTTACATTCGCTTTGTTAGTTTTGTTTATATGAATTGTCTGTAGTTACGTTCACATCTTTGGTTTTACTCCTCAAACGATATATTAGCTGCTTCTAGTTACTGCGATTTCCTTATTTTATTCACGTAAATATAGCAGCGCTGGAGAACGCGGCACGGTAAATAAAATCAAGTTTCATTGTGTTTAGGCTCCTATAGGAGTTTTTCCTTCTATAAGTTTCTCAAACAATATCATATTATGTTACTTCTTTTTCTTCTATCTCGAAAAATTAATACACAAACTCTTCTTTTAGGCTTTTTTATATTGTTAATAATGAAATCCGTCTAGACACTTTCCAAAGATGAAATTGAAATTAAATACCTGCTGGCAGAAAGTAGTAGCTAAGGTTGCTTAGAAAGTGGTGAGTTGCCCCGTTTCTTGGATGCGACTTTGTAGCAATTGGCAAATCATATGATTTATTATTTATATGAACAAATAACACAAAAAGAAACAAGTGTATTAGAAGACAAAGACAATTTATTTCACAGTTAAAAATTGGTTATCTAATTAACAGTTATTTTGTGCCAACTTAAATGTTTGAAACTTTCACATCCAACAATATCATTGTGGTAGAGATCAATTCCTTTGGTGTCTTTAAGCAATAACACAGCAATGATCGCGAAAAGTGATTTAGGAGAGATAATATCCTAGTTACCATGTATGCAAACAGTGTTTTTCTTTCTAAGTTCATAGAATTTAGTGATACTACAATGACTGCAGCTTTCGTCTTTTGCTACAAACAGTTATGAAAAGAAACGTCCAGTCTTATACTATGTGTAGTCTTTCTATACAGCTTTTGGGTAATTATAATAATAGTATGGCAACTCAAGAAAATACAACTCGTTTAACATTCAGGCACATGTGGAAGTTTTATGACAGAATGGCAGCAGTGAGTGTTAACTTACAATCTACTTCAATAATTGAGAAACTGATAAGTCTATTCGTAGATAAAAAAAGTTAGAAAAAATTTATTAAAACTATCCGAAAAAAGTAATTAAAGTGTTTTGTTAAAGCATTTTAAAAATATTTATTATTCAAAACATCCTAATAAAAGTACAAGTATTTAAGACCCTTTTAATAACTAAAAGTTTATATTGTGGTGAAATTGCTTGACTTGGTGTCTTGCAGTTCTGGCTTGTCCTCGACTGAATACAAAAACAGCATTGTAAGGAAAGAATTGAATGATTATACATTTACGTACATTCTCAGGTAATTTCATTAACGTCAAACAACCGATACTATCTATATTCAAGTTTTACGTTTTCAAAAATATGAGTAATATAAAAGTATAAAAAATCAGAGGTATCTGTTTACACATATATTAGCACATACGTATGTAGTCGTAAACACCACGGCAGCAAATTCTACCTGCAAAAAATTGATTTAGACTGTATTTTCATGAACGAACAGAAAATAATCTTGCGAACAAATTTTATATTCTGATGTCTTTTTGATTGGGAAACAATAATGGGCTTGCGTTTATATACAAAACAACCCTATGGGAAATTTTGCAAACTTAGCCACGCAAGTGTAACAAACCGAAAGCAACGTGTCGTTACACATGGGAAAAATATTAAACATTTCATTGCTTTTGCTTACAGAATTAAGTGCTCGAATACTTTGCAACAATTTTTTATATAACATAAAAGATAAAATGGATGTCTTCGCCCTCCATTTTGCATTAGTTTTATATTGCATTATCTATTCAGAATAGATTACATATTAGAGAGGGAGAAAAAAGAAAAAATAATATCAAGCAAATAATTACCGTAAAGTGGGTGAGTTGTATATAGCTTTTACAAGTACGACTAAATGTTAAAAATATGTTTCCAGACTAAGAAGTTTCTGCAAATTAATACAGATTCCAACATGAGCAGCAATATTTGGTTGACATTAATATGAACTGTTATATTCCGAAAACATCTGAATCAAATCTTTAAAATGAATTAAGAAGGAAGTTATATTCGTCTTGTCCCGGAGCTTCAGCTTATATAAATACATACAAATAGTAAGCTTTTCCGTTAATTATGAGCATGTTATTTGCGCGATCAAAACTTGTACCGACTTTTTATAAGGAATATATGTAATTGAGTCAGCAAATTAAAATTTGGTGCTTATTGTTGGCATATATATTGTCGAATGACATCTGCCCCTCGTCTTTAGAGAAATACAATTACAATTCTCTTCTTTCTTTTTTGGTGTAGATCATTTCTATTTTCAAACAACTTGAATTGATGTACGATTAATCTCTGAAAAATTACCAAGATATCAAACAGATGTAGGTGCTTTGTTTTGCGAATCTGCCCCGTTTAATTTTTGAAGGTATTTAAATTCTAACTTTTCAAAATAGATAAAAGGAAAGCCCAGATATTGCAACGTCCTGTTATTAAATTACTTTACTTTAAATGTGATATGTGAAATTATCATGGGGGCTATATTATGCATTTGTTGGGTTTAATACAAATCTAGGTATGCGTCAGAAACTAACATCGTTTGAGTATGAATATTGTCACCATATGTCGATTTTAGATATACAATAGGGTAGTAATGTAAAACAGTTTTGTCATTTATCTCAAATAAACCAATATGAATTATAGTTTTCATTTGTATACATATTTTTTAAAAAGTGAGTTTTAAAACATACATACGTTTCCTGTCCTGTTGATGTTTAATATCTACAAGTAAACCGTACATATTCAAAAAGTAAGCCCCTGTGATGGGCTGACAAACACCTGTGACCAGAAATATGAAAAAAATTCACGTCGAAAATTTAAATTGACGTTTAATAATTTTTTTCCATTATGTTTTAAATGATGAGCCGTTTGCGATTGTTAACATAACATCGGAAGGTCTTTTGTAATTTGGAAATAAGTAGATGCAAGGGCAGGAATTTTAGGTCCATCATCTACTAAAAATTTTATTTCTTTTCCTCAACCAAATATGAACAGACGATGTAAACTGTCATCTGTGTTCCCATTGTCTATAGGTTTGATAGTAAATGCAAAGCTGGCTCCACTTAGTCTTATTATCGAACTTGGAATGGTAATAGCATAGCCCGGATCTAGATCTTTTGGACTAAGTCAAAAACAGGCAGTATAACGAGCGCAAGATGTGTTCGTATTTGACTACTCGTTTGAAAGCAAATTGAGCCATTAGAGGGTAGTTTCATGGAAGCGACCAAAATCTTTATATTAAGCGGATATCTTTGTAAATTAAAGTTATTAAACCTGCTGTGACTGTTTGAGTGAATATTGTTATCGAATCGTAAATATGTTTGGAGAGGAATTACAAAAAAAAAAAATATTTGTGCATTATGTATAATAAGGGTCATAATAACAATTAACAACATAAAACATTGAATATTTTTCTACCTAGCTGGCCTATGTATTTGTTTTCTTTCGTGTTCTTTTTCTTTACCATGCGTGGTTATGATCTTGACTAGTAGAGAGAACTTTATGTGATCATCATATTGTTTTACTTCAAAAAGGCACATATTCGAAAAAATCGGTACAATATTATAAATTAAAATATTTTCGATTAGTTTCTACAACTATGCTGATTAGAGCTGTTGTTGGTTCCTTTTGCAAGAATACATCGTTCAACTTGTTCAATTGACTTCGATAGACATTTAAAGGAACAGTTACGGTCGGTATTAGCAGCTCGTAGAATACTTCACCTTCTTGATCTCCCCATATGCGCAGCAAAACTTCGTGGTCATGAATATTCCGTTTCCATGTTAATGTGGATGGGTCACCTGGACTAACTCATGACTTTTTGCGCTTCAGATTTTTGTAGTAGATCCACTTTTCGTTGTCAAATACGCCATAGAAACGTTTTTTTTTTTTTGTCTGTCGAGAAATGAAACTGCGATCTTGACACGGCTCGAAATGGTATTTCTGTGTCAATTCGTATGGTGGCCATTTTCACTCTTTTTGGATTTTTCACATCGCAACTAAACGTCTAGAAACAACTGATTCATCAACTGCTAAGCTGTTTGAAAGTTCCTTTAGAGTTTGAGCACGGTTTTCGTCCAATAGGTGTTGCAATTTATTGTTTCTTTTTTGGTCCTCCAGCCCGTTCTTTGTCGTTGACATCAAAATCACCGCTTTTATAACGTTGGAACCAAAACCGACAATTCAAATATGATGAAATGCTTTACCATAAGCTTTAAACTGTGTTTCACGGGTTTCAGCAGCAGAATTTTAGAGCAATGTCAAAATCATCGAATTTAACCCTTGGGACATTAATCCTTCGCAAGAGATGTCGCTGATCAAAACACATGAATTTATAAAAACAAGTGCAGCTTGTGGTGCTTATAGAGCGCAATCGCAGCATCGTTTTTTGTATTTCTGGATAATTGGATGTTAATCTAATATATTAAACCCCATTCTGCGCTATTATTATGGCTTGGTTTTGATGCTGAACAACTTGTCGTGTTTTCGTATATGCTTGAGAGCAATTAACGAATTCTTTTAAAGCTTCCATGGTAACCATTTTATTTACAAGAAATATTCAGTATTCATTCTCTTCGTTGCATGAGATATCAAGATTTAAAGCTGTTCAGAAGAGATCGCATGAGCAATTTGCTACGTATATAGGTCAAGAAATGCATATGAAGTCTTATATATTGGAGGGTTTCTTCAAGTTTGAGCAATTTCCGCCAGGTAACATTATCTGTTGTTGCGACAGAAACTTAAACAAACGAAGACGAAAGATAACAAGAACGGTCCCAACAAGATCAAAAACTACAACAAAGATATAAGTGATAAAAATTACGATATAGGGAGCATTGTTATGATCTTACAAAATTAATGTATTCACAGGACAATTATATCACATCTTAGTCTTTCATTACGTAGACAATGAACTAACTTTGATATACGTAGAAGTTCATAGATAAAATAAAGCAGTCACAGGTGTATGTATGTTGTATAAACAATTAACTTGTAACATTCCTTCGCCCTCGATTTGATAGGGTATGAAACTCATGAATCACGTAGACTATAGCGAATTTAGAGCCAAGGCGATGGAGTTTTCCGGAAGTAGTTTTGATTACGGCTGACAGAATTTGCCCATCAGTTGCAACATTAATTTGTATTGGTTTGACTGGTTGGTGCCATTTCGTTCGGGGAATTAATCCAGAAAAATATTCGAGTGCCCATAGTTTCCAAAAGCTTTGCTTCATTTGTTGAAGGGTGTACTTTTCCAAACATACCATTTTAAGTACAATTGGCGTGTGCACTATGCTTGGGCAGTCTAACAAAAAATGATTAGGCGTCAACGGCTCATGGTCGGTACTCTCAAATGGCAGATGAGTAAGCGGTCGTGATTTTAATAAATTTTCTGCCTCTAGCGAAAGGCTGTTCAAAGTCTCTAATTGTGGCGTTATTTCTTTTAAAGTGAATTTCAATACTCTACTGATATTTCAAGCTCTGCTAACAGAAGGATTGGCTTTGGTATTAAAATACCATTCTATGTTCTTACTTGGACATTCATAAATCAAACGGTGCTTCTTAATTACAAATTTTGGCTTACTGGCGCCTAAGAAGTTTGTGCCTTTGCCATTTCTCTGCACACTGCGTATTGCAAAGGCGTCGGTAGACAGATTTTTGGATGTTTCCAAGTAAATTGTTCTAGTCGTCATCCGGGCGCAGCCGATCTCTTTTCAGTGCGGCAACCTATGGCAGTCAAAATGGTCAATAGGTAGAGGGTCTAACATAAAGAGTAATACTATCTTTTGCCCGATTAAAGGAGTAGTTGGCAGGGTTGATGAATTTTTGCATAGCTGTTGGCAGGTTGTTCTTGCTGATATTGCGTGCTGGCGTATATTTGGGATTCAGAATTTAGAGAAAAGGAATACACGTGCTCTAATCCATATAAAGACCAAGGGACAGAGAAAAACTACTTACCGAACGGGTTGTAGTCCTAAGCCACTCTTTACCCTACCCTTCCTACGGTCTCCGTCGGTCCATGATTTTTAATAGGAGACTCCGAACTCTGATCTGACGAATCTTAAGGTACTTTCCTCTCAAAAATAAAAATTTTGTTCAAAACATTTTTAGATTTATGTTTAAATGAAATATTTGAAATTTTGATATTAGAAGAGGTTTACTATTAATATTGTTGTTGTTACACCAGCTTTCTCTTTTTTGTAAAAAAAAATATTTAATATACACATATATCTACATTTGTTATATAGTTATATACATATTTCTACATTTCTACATACATTTTCTTTTTCTGTTCTACAGCATTCAACATTAATTATGACAACACAAAATATATGAATTTATTATCTCCTTCGTAAATTGTTTATAGCATTTTCTTATTAAATTTATAAAAAGAAACGCAAACATACAAACATTTTAGAGATTAATAGACTACCTCCGAACGTCATATCAGCCAGCATTCAAAGACGTACTCTCAGAGCTTCTCTTTAGCATTGTTGTTATGTGCCTTGCCGTTTTCACTGTAGCTTTACCACGACAATGTATATATACTTTTGATCAGCATCAAACCTTAATCGATTTGGCATGTCTGTTTGCCCGGTCGTTTGTCTGTGTGATATCTGTTGTAAACAGACTCTCCTAATCGCAAAAATGAAGCTATTGACTTTAAAACATTGGAAGTTTTTGCACGCAATTATCTCCGAATTTCTATTTGACCTATCATAACACCGCGAACATCTTTTTTGTTTTGACCAATAGATAAAATAATACCGGAAAATTAAATATGGCGTCGACGTTAAGCATAAAATTATTCCCACCTTTTTTTAAGTTCAAAACCATTAATGTTCACGAAACTTTTATAGAACATCACAACACGAAACCCAAGTAAACATTTTTAAAACGTTTTGAAGGATGATGATTAAGAGCTTTTACTCAAATATTTCTAAATTTTACTTTTACTTTGCAATGCAGTTTTGCACTTTCTCCTTTCATCTTTTTTTCTTACTAGACCCTTCTTGTCGGCGAAATTACGTAATAATAATAATTATATTCTACAGGGTTACATATGTAACTAACATTACAACAGAAAGCGAAACGTTACAAGTGTTGTTTGGTGATTCCGTATATCGTCGTCTTTGGCGTCTTTAAGTACTACAATCAATCAGCTTGTATCAAGAAGCATATTATTTTCGAAAAAACCGAAAAATAATGGTCCGGAAAATCTACGTGAATTTGAGGGGAATTTCGCTTTGCCTTTGGGCTGCTGGACTCTGCGCTCCACGAATCCATATCCACTCAGAACTAGTAAAACATTCGAGTATTTCGAATACTCGATTTGAAGCGAATTCTTCGTATAATCTGCTATTGTAATATATCCAATCAATGACGATTTTGAAATCTGATCAAAATACTATTTCTGATAGCTTTACATCGTGATTTCTTAAAATGGCGACTGTCAAGCCTTTTACTAATACCGCGGCAACTAACTCCAAGCTAGGAATAGATAAAGTTTTACAAGGGCTATACTTAGTTCTTCCAACAACGAAGGGAAAATAAACGTTGAATGATTTTTCAATAAGTTACGGATGAGAAGGCTGCTTTGCTATAAACTTTGGCCGTATAGTTTGCGTATTGGTCTTATGTCTTGCAGGGTGTTTTACCAAGCAATCCAGAATATGTATAACTTTTCTTGGATCGGCATGTTCCAATCTATTTTAGTTCTCCATAGTTCTTGAGGTATCAGTTTCCAGCTTATTATCCCACCTGACAAAAAAACCGAATAGACCAAAAACTGACATCGTTAGATCCAAAATTTAGTTTTTAGTTGGGCAACAGTTTCCTCCTAGAACTGGTTTGAAATATTTCTGAAGTTTAATTTGAAAATGAATTCATCTTATCGTGGGTACCAGAATGAACATTCGCAAGAGTTTTTGTCGGGATTAATAATAGTTTTAAGATTGATGGTAACCCTGCTAAGATATATTTAGAATGTAAAAAAATTTCTAGGCTTGCAAAATATTGGCAGATCTGAAAATAATCAAAACATTTCTGCAGTAAAAATTCGATTTTTTTACCAGAAATAAATTGCGATCGGTTTCGTCTCTGTGCTACGGAATATCTTGATTATTGTGTTTATTGCATCATTATATTGAACAAATAAATAGTCACAATTTCTGCTCGAATTTAAATATACTCTTGTACTTGTTTTTTTTTTTTTGGAAGACATTTTGTCACTTATTAATGCAATATAATTAATTATCATCGAAACCACATTTCATTTTCGCCTTTTTCCCAAAATTAATAAAGAATGGCGTCCGTTCAGTGATTATAGATAGATAGATAGATAACCTGCTCCACATTTTCACGCTTTTACAGATAATTTATATAGCAAGAAGATCTTTTCTAAAACAGATTTGGTTAAAGCTTATATGTAAATACCCGTTGACAAAGCAAATATACCCAAAACAGTTATTATCACTCCAACGGGACTTTTCGAATATGCAAGGATAACATTTCAACGGTTTATGCATGGGCTTCTAAAACATCTTGAATTTTGTTATGCCCACATTGAGTATATTCTTATCGCTTCTGCAAACTTGGAAGATAACACCTTAAAATACTCTTTAGCCGCTTAAGGTATGGCTTGACAATAAACGTTGCAAAGTGCGAGAAAAGTGAACTATCTTTCTTAGAATTCTTAGAATATTTAACATCAAAACGTTTATTACCAAACCAAAGGAATAGAATAGTACAAACTAGTAACCAGCCTGGTCTAAGCCAACTGCTTGGTCTTATTAATTTTTACCGAACGTTCATTCCCAAAGCAGCCGAAACACCAGCTGTACTCCATGATTTAAACGAAGGTCAAAAGAAAAACGATAAACGAAAAATTGTTCAGTCAAATGAACTAAGAAACGCATTCGATTGTTGCAAAAAACAATTTACCGACGCTTCTAGTCTACCCGGTCGAGGCATTACCTACATCACTTTGGTCTGACTTTTCAGATTTTGGTGCGGGAGCAGTTTTACAACAACATGTTAATGGTTGTTGGGTACCCCTTGCATTTTTCTTAGAAAGTGTACGGAAACACAATGCCATTACATCATTTACAATTGAGAACTACAATCAGTATATTCTAGTCTTAAGCATTTTCAGTACTTCTTTGAAGGTCGCAAATTTGCCAAAAATTACAAAAAGCTTTGCCAGGGCAACTACGTCAATTAGTAATCCTATAATTGTATTATTAGCCGACCCGAAATGAATTAAAAAATTTATACTTGTGTATGTGCTATATGCGCAACATAATTTTCATGTAGTGTTCATCAACCGAACATTAAATGGAAATGCAAAACTCACTATAACTACGACCAAAACATGTTCTCGCGCATTTGAGATTTCAGCCCGGGAACTCCGACTTCGTAACCGTGTTTCTTACCTACTCGCCTACTCATGCGGACATTGATTACTATCGATAAATGACCAAGCTATAAAAAAAGAGAAAAAGCTTTGGACACATATACTGTACCTGTCGTTAGCACGTGCCACTTGATGAACTAAGAAGTGGTGAATACATTTCTGCATAGGACCACTTAAGATTTTAATGCACAAACAATTTGATTTTTTCATGAGAAGTGCTAAGGCTTCTCGGTTTCGATTTTAACGGTTTAAACCACCGTAAACGGTTGTGGCCACTTGCTGCAATAGTTGTGCAGGATACACTGTTGCAGCTCAAATGGAAAGTTTTGCCACACCTATAGTACTCACCAGAGATGGAGCCGCCTAATTACTGCTTGTTTACATCGGTACAGTGTAGCTTCTAGTTGGTTAAAGAGTATAAATGACCACCATAAGGTGAATTATCTCATCGCTGTTGCCAAGAAAGAGCGGAATGCTTTCTGTCGATTGTCCTCAGATGTGCAGGAGTCCCAGCACGATCATTAAAATGAGATGTCTAGAAGATACAATTTTATCTACAATGTTGTTGCCAAGAATGCCCACATGACTGGGCACCCAGAGAAAGTGAAAACAAAATGAATCAGAGTTGAGACTATAAAGTAAGAAGTAATTTCTAATATGTAGGGTTGAGTTTTACCTGAGGGAAATGATTGTAAAGCTGATAACACAAATTTACTGTCTAGCACTATCAGGAATTTCTTTTGAGATTGAGTACTCGCTAAGCGGACGGCTTCCAGGATTACTAGACATCCAGCCGCAAATATAGTATTATATGAGAATAATTTTGAATAAGCTATGAACACCAGTTCTTTTAAATAACGACAAAGAAAAGGTTGTCATGAAACATAAAAAAACAGAAACCATAACAAAAATTTTTATATATAAATTTAATAAACTATCAAAAAATAGCGATTTTAGAAAGCGTGAAGTTCAATGTTATGGTGATGTTATACCAAAGCTCACTTTTATCAAATTTATATTTGAATCTTTTATACTCACCAACTTAATTGTAAAAAACTCCCAAATACAAACAAAAAAGATCACTATCTATCGAATTGGCATGGCTCATTTTCTAAGTTATGTAAAACATACGTGGAAAGTTTAATTGTGTATCTATTACAGAAAGAAGCTGTGTCCTCTGCTTATGTTGCATTGTAAGCGTGTCCTTTGAGAAGCTTGGTCTATTTTCCAAACTGCGTGCAAAACCTTAAAATATTTTCTCGAATTCGAAACCAATATCTTCGTTTTTACACTAAGAAGAATGTTTGCAGCACACACTACGCGAGAAGTCAGAACTTAATGCTCACCAAGAATATACACTTTGTGGGGTCTTTGAAGCTTCCTTCTGAGTGTTGCAAACGTTATGAAACATATATACAAACATGAACGTACGCTTGGTGGTAGGTATAAAATATAAAAATAATTTATAATTATTTTCCTACTAGGGACACAAAGCCATGAGACTGAATTTTTTTTTTAAATAACCGCGCTATGATACCGATGTGTATTTTTTTGATTGTTGTGAACAGCTGACATTAACTTCGAGACACGCGCCCTGGTGTGTTTGCAAAGCACCTTTTCTTTTGTTTAAACAATCTTGTTCTCAACATTATTTAGAATGGAGAAAACTGTTAAACAAAGAATGTGTATCAAATTTTGTCAAAAAATAAAATGAACTAAAAATGGTACGGTGGTAAGTGTTTGTCAATATCAGAGTTGTTGTTAAATGGTATAAATTTGATGAGAATCGTGGGGTAGTCGAACAGGAACCTCGTTCAGACACACCATCAGCCTTGACTAATAATGAAAGCACTGACAAAATCAAAGTTCGTCGATAATTGGTATATCAAAAGGATCAGTACAAACAACCTTGAAGGACGATTTGGGTGTGTATTCTCGTTCGGTTCGTTCTTTGGAGTTTTGAATTTCTTGGTAAAACGACGCCGTGTTGAAGTGTCAAAAGAAACGCTTTCTGTGAGCACTAATGAACTAAAATACGTAATTACAGGCGATAAAACTTAGTTTTATGCTTATGACCCGGAAACAGCTTACCGATCTAGTGAATATCGTGCTACAGGTGAACCCATCGAAAGAATAGCTGATAAAAAAATTGTTCAAAAAACAAAAAAAATACTACCAGCTCAACAGGGCACGTGTGTCTAAATATGCACGCGGCTATCATAGAGTGGGTATTTTACAAAAACGCAGTCTCACTATCTTTTTTCCGTAGCAGTAAGTCTTTTTCGATATTGCTAAATTTAATATAATTCTTTTATTTTATTAAAACAATTAATTGAACAACTTAAAACTTTGTAATAACTAATTAGTTTATTTATTAAATCTAAAATAGACCGTAAATTTTTTTTATCGTTAATCATAAATAACATATATGCTCAATTTTTTTTTTTTAATGTCAAAAAATTATATTTTCCAAATTTTTGTTTTTCGTATAAGTGCTATGTTCTCAATGATTCATACGTAAATATCCACAGGAACACTTTTTGACTGGCATAATTAGTTTGTGCATACAGCGTTACATTTTTTAAAATAAAAAATCTAGTTATAGCCTCGTTTATTGAATTGCTCTTTTGGTGAGAAATACACCTAATATTTTTTTGAACACATTTCTTTTAATATTAAAAGTCTCGATAGAGGTAAGAAGACCTATCTATCAGGCTGAAATTAAACAGTCTGCAAGTTTGTAATCTTATAAGAAACTAAAAGCTTTGAACAATATTCCAAAACAATTGATAGGAACACTTTAATGAGAGTGATATGCACCGTAGGCCACAAAGTAGCAAAGACTCCATACTCCAATAATATTGCTGCCTTCTCCATCCCAAACGCGCCCTTAATCGAGTTACATGAGATCTGTAGCCCCTTTGGAATACTTTTCTGTTTGAAATTTTTCCCTATGCTTCATTGAAAATAAAGGAATTGCGCGTCATTTCTAGAAAAGCCTTTACCCGGATGAGAAGTTAACAGATGTCTTACCAAAGTAAAAGGGAAACCATCAAGCTCGGATCGCAATTCAAACTAAATGGTCAAAGACTTTCAGATTTAGCCAAGGGTAAATTACTTGATCTATATAACACAATCGTTTCTACCGGTAATAATCCCAGTTCATGGAAACTTATGGTAATCGCCCAAAAATAAGAAGTTTTCATCAGAATGCCGTCTCATCTCTGTTGTTTTGGTTTCTTGAATCTAAAAATTGAAAAAGCGACAAGTTAGATTAAAGTCAGGCAGAAATTATCTTGATGCCCTACTGTTCATTGATTATTCTACAATTAAGGCAATTTCTAGAAGAAATCATGTTACAAGACTTTCAATCGACATTAAAAAGGCCTTTGACAAAGTCTGTCTACATGTTATCTCAGGCATTTTGAAGCCATGGACAATTGGTGCTAAATTTTTCCACTACATCAACTCTTTTATTCCACACAGCTAGTTCATACCTAGAGTCAATCTCATGAACTTCTTTAACTTACTTTTTACGAAATAAGTAAGATTCTTTGCCAGATACCAAAAATTGAACATCATCTGCCGATGATGTTTATGTTTTAACCCTTCGCACCCGAACCATTTTTTAGTATGGATATTCAGGTACCCGAATGTAGTTTTAATAAACAATTGTAACTCATCAAACAAAGAATTTTAAACAAAAGTTATTTATTTACACGTTTCATTTTTATTTACATACTACAAAGATAATATTCTAATATTAAATTTTTATAATTTTCCTCCCTTCGGTCAGAGCACACTCTACAATCCTTTTTTCTCCTTTTTGCATCACATGTAGCTTATCATTTAATCGGATTTACTACAAATTTCGTTCCTTAATTTCATTTTCATGACCTTAAGTCATAAAAAAATAATTTTAATTACCAATGCTTTCACTTAACAGAATATCAAAAAAAGTTTCAATTTTGCTTATCAGTTTTTTCACTTTAGAGAGCATCAAAAATTTTGCTAAAAATTTCCCAGAAACGCTATACTCTTCAGATTGAATGATCTAAGTGTCCACCATTTGATATATACCGGACTAATCTCACACCAAGTAAAAGATTTTACAACGCGTGCACAATTTAACGTACAATATCATCAAAAATAATAATGGCGCCTCTTGGGCGCCATGCGCGTGCAATGGGTTAACAAAAGCAAAAGTGTCATGACAACCATCAATATTCTCGCAACTAAGGACACTCCTCAGGGGAAAAAATATCGATGCAGAAATCAAAAAAGTTCTGAATTTTGTGAAAACGGCCTGTGGGATACGGAAATTTGACATATGTACACGAACAATTTACCAGTTCAAAATGTGCAAACACTCAACGTTTTGAGCTCACGTTGTCAAAAAAATACGATTGGAGGACGCTCCGTCTTCAGTTAAAGAATGCCATTCTAAACTTTGTATGCTACATTGTAGACATCATGTTCACGTCGACACCATTGCTTATCTTAGTAAGGTGTTCGTCTTAAACAAAATTAATTATTTATGTCAGCAATAGCAACTATTTTGAAATTGGTTTATCTAAAACTGGTTAGAGCTAGTAGTTATGCTTTTTGAATTACGCCCATCAACAGTATCACCTGCCTACCGACAATAAAGGATAGAGTATACGAGTTAAAAGCCAAAATTATCTTGAAAGTGCTTAATTCTGACAATTCACTACTTGGCGAAGATGTTAAAAAGGCTCTTGTTGCCAAAAGAAGCAAGAGATATCAATCCGCAATTAACTCCTATATAAATGTTGTAAACTAAACGTTCCCCTAAATATCTCCCGAAAAAGTAGGATGAAACCCTGTGGGCTTTAAACGTTAACTCTTTTTATGTTTCGTCCCCGACATGAAAAAAGGAATGTAGGCACAATTTCGTCTTCAGAGAACAAATCGCAGAGAAAACTTAACTTTTTGGAAAATAATGATTGTTATAGTTTTTTTACTACTGGTTTTCTAAGAGTGGTGACCTGTCCCCTGCCTACGCAATAGTAGATGCCACAGGGAAAATCTAAATTAATCACAACCTCCACGAAAGTGCGCCAACATGTACAGCTAAAACTGTTATTCAGGCCACAATCCTAGTAAAGCTAAACTTAAAGGGGTTATGATCATACATAGTTTGTCGGCTGTGAAAGCTATCTGCAACCCAAAATTAAAATTTTTTGGGTTCAAAGTCACATCGGTCTATTGGGAAATGAGCGGGTAATCCTCGTGGCGGCGAAGACTGCAGCTTCCACACCTTGAGTTATGGGCGGCATAATAGAAAAAGTTGACTTTCTAAAGTATATTAGGAAAAAAATTAAAAAGAAACACGAAAGAAGAAAAGAAAGACAACCAAAATGGACAGTGCTACTATCCACATTACTCGCATAAAAAGAAGAGGAACTGACACTCTTAGCTGCCAGTGGTCATCCTATTTTTAATGCTAGAATTTAGGCGTCCCTCACACAACACGTTCTCGATATTACACGGTAGAAGAACTGAGAATAATTGTAACAGGGTTTTAATATAACACGATTTCAAAAAATCGAATATGCATTGGAAATTTGAAGTTTTCTTTGAATTGCATTCAATAACTTAATTGCTACTGAAAACTGAATTTGCATTGGAAAATTAGAAAATTTTTTCGTTGAAAAAGGTCCTTCAGCACGCAGCGGAAAATTTTAAAGTGAATAAAAAAGTTCTTCAGCTCCTTATAGAGAAATTCTTAAAGAATTGCAAGGTCGAAATAGGCAGGTATTTGCAATGTAAAAGAGAATTGAAAAGTTCTTTAGCTCCTTATAGAGAAATTCTTAAAGAATTGCAAGATCGAAATAGGCAGGTGTTTGCAACTACGTCAGGTGACTTTTGTAATGATGGAGAAATAACTAGTGAAGAGGAATTTCGACTAACCTTGAGAAAAAGAAAAAGCATAGCAGTAATTTTTGATAAGAGTGATGATGAAAGTTAATTTCATATTATTTTTTGAATATATTGTTGGATGTATTTTTAACTTTTTTATATCGGCATAATGTTGAATTTAATTTAAAAAAAAAAAAAGCCAACTTCTTCATTTATGTAATATTTGGAATAAAACTTTACTTATCGTAAAATTTTACACCTTAAGACGCAATTTCGATATAACACGGTACACATTACTTTTATTTATATTATTTAAAAGTTTCTTGTAACACGGTTTCGATATAACACGGTACGAATTAATCGCTAAATACGAGGGACGCCTTTACATGGACATATACTATAGTAATGCTAGTAAATTCTTTGTTTTGCAATCACAAGTGGAGTAGCATTTCAATTAGAATAATAATTCTTATACATTACTTCTCCAAATAACCTGACTGTATAACAAATTTTACACGAACGACCACCTCCTTAACCCTGCATTGGCAAATAATTATCCGTAATAACACAACAACAATAAACCCTTCAAATAATTATAATGCAAAATAAGTTTACCTCGTCGGGTTTCTTTTTTATACGGATTTCACTCCGGACCCCAGTAGATGATTTCACGATTCATTCGTACTACTATATAGACGCCCTTCCCTGCGTTGCTAACTACTTTAGTAAAGTGCTCAATTTCTGCTTTGAATTTATAATTTCTCCCTAACTAGTAACCTAAATATAGAGGCTCTGCCATCTCCCATAAACCATAGTTTTCCTTTAAATATTTGTCAAAACAATATTTTCAGGTAAGCTTCACTTCCTACTGCACTATTTGTATCGTAACAGTCAGACAGTCAAGTTTTGCCAAGTCTCTTATCCATATAAACTAACCATGATAAAACCAACCTTTTATTATGTATTTTGCGTTCAACACAATCGCAGTTTTTGAGATATTTTAATGAAATGAGATACACTAATGTATTTAGGGCCTATTTTGTTAATTTATCTACAGAAATTCCTAGGTAATACTATTTCGGCATTCTAAATTGATGTGAAAAATTTGGATCAGATGAACAAACTTCTAAAAACCTTCTCTTAGACAGTTCGTACGAAAAGTAAGCTTCTGTATGGCAAAAAAGCTTAACTTTTCTTATTTGGTCATGAAAACTGATTTATAAAACTATAAGTAAAAATTTAAAGTACCAAAGTTTGTCCACGTAGACCTATTTTGTGTACCCCGTACCATATGAAGGTTCCCATGCAATCGATGTAATTTTTAGTGTTTTGTGGCGATAGTTTATCCATAACAATAAATTTACATAGAAATGAAGTATGGCAGATTTTAACTTGACGCCATGTTAGTGCCCCCGTGAAAAATGTGCTTTTACACGCAGACAAGATCGAATTTTTTTCGTGGTCTGATCACGAATATAAATGAGGAATTGTACGCGACGAAATGACAAAATGATGATCGGCCTTGCGGGACTATAGATGAATGGACTTGGACGTTGACGCGAAGAGACTGTGCTTAAAAATTCTTTGTACCCATTTGTCTATTGATTGCTTTTGTCAGCTTACCCAGCCCATTCCTAGTAATTGTAACACAATAAACCAACTTGTTGAACTATTTAAAATATTCTACCTTTCATAATCATTTTTTATATCCCATTCGGTAATGAAGGAAATTATGGTATTATTTGCCTTGTGAGCGCGAAATTAAGAATCATTATCATGTATATATTTGTTACAGATCAGTCAATTTATAGAAATAAATTGGTTACGCATGTCTGTACAAATATTTCAATACTTAGGACACTTTTAATAATATTTTTAAAACTAAATTGCGTAGCACTTCGAAACCATCCATTTTCTTAAGCAACTTCTTTGCTCATTTTCTCCAGATCGGACTCGTCTACTTAAAGCAAAAAACTACCAAAATTCTTAAAATATTCAATTTTTATAAATAGCAATATAAAAAACAATTAACTATGATTTTTTTTCGAAAAAGCCCGTTCAGCCCGTTAAAATGAACGAATCAAAATATCACACGCCTCACTATGAAGCTACAGTTGAAAATTGAAGTCAATAGTCGGAGAATTGTAAGCATTCAAAAAACACAATGTCGAGAAAAACATAGATAAGATATTAAATAGTGATAAATTTTAGGACTTAGGAATACGAAATCACTCGAAAATCCACTTTTTCGGCTGCACGAAGAATTCGACCGCTTCCTAAAGTCTTTTGCGTATTGTTCTTGAATATTTAATCTAATGAAAAACATTAAATGTCAGTCTGTTTATTCATTGGAACGACGATTGGCAATTTAAAATTTCGTTTGCAAATATAAAATTTGGTCATTAGTTTTTTGTTTTGAAATTTTTAAATCAAATTTAATTTAAAACTACAACACTTTTAAATTCAGGTAAAAATAGAAATAATCTTGATTTGAACTTTTCTGCATTGGAATCTACGTTGGAGCCAACTCGAAAATAACCCAAAAAGGATACTAGGATTTTTTATTGTCACCGTTGAAGGATAGCAATATATTCATTTTGTTAAATTTTTGCGACAGGTAGACTCAAGTTTTAGAGATTCTACAAAGCATATATACTCTTTATCACTATGAAAATTTGAATAGATCTAAGCATATGCGTCTGTCCACCTGTGTAAATTAACCATCTCCTTCCCGCAAAAATGAAAAATCGCTGTCAAATTCAGCAGAAGCTCGCAATTCTTGCACAAAGATTGGTATTGAATATGGGCCAAACCTGACAAATGATACGCCTAGAGTACAATATACATCAAGAAAATTTCTATGTTCAAAAGAAAGTCGTTCATAAACTATTACGGATACTTCAATCAAAATTTTAATGTACATTCTACGCATTGTCATACTATACCAACACAGAAAAAGGGAAAAATCACCCTCGGCCAATTAAAGAGTATCGTAGTTGAATTATTTTCCCTTTGTTTAAGATGAAATTGGTGGGTATGGAGATACGGCCACAACCGAATCCATAAACTCTGATGTGTACGTTATATTAATTGTAATTACAATATTTTTGATATGTTAAATAAATTATTCGAAAAAAAACAATTTTTTTATTAATCGTTTTAGGGAGCTAAATTTTCAAATAAATAAGTTTATGAGCACCTCTTTACTATTTGTGAAATCATCAAGCTGTCACTAACTCAAAGGCTACAAACTTATCAAGAAAATTCCTTCACATTACAAGAGGATTTTAATCATTCAAAAGAAAAACGTTTTTCCATCAGCTTATTATACTACTGGTAAAATATGAAACCGTGAAAAAGACGAATTATAATTCAATATTAAGTTTCTTAGGCAAATTTTAAAATTGCAAGAAGAGACGGTTATGTAGCAGCAGCATTTGTATATTGCAAACTGCACGCAAAGAGTGGACTATATCTGCCATCACCATTAAAGCAACTGCCGTCTACTTCAGTTACGTAGGGTTAGCCTGCTACGGTCTCCCACATAATATAGAAAGAATTTCGTAACGTCATTATGCAGCCCCAATCAGCACAAAATATGGTAAGTACTATTTCTTATGCTTAAAACAAACATTTTTGAGTTCACTAATAAGTCATTTCGGATTTGTATCTTAGAATATATATCCGAAACGATTAATCCGTAATCAAGATGATTTCGTTTAGTATTTGAATTGAGAATGTCTACATAAAGCATCATTTGAATTAGATTTTCTTTGGTTAAAACTTTGCGCAAATAGACTTATTGTTTAGAAACTAATTCAAAATTTAATATATTAGGTATATAATCAATTTTCGACCTTTTTTGACGAAACTCAATTTTGCTTAAAACATAGTTGTTAGAAAACTTAATAATCGAACCAGCCGCCATCGTTATCTATTTGTGAGGTAGCTTACTGACGCCTTCAGGACAGGACCCTCTTTGCTTTGAGACGAAACATCCATCGAGCCATTTTCGGAAATCTTCAACTTCTCTGCGCACACTAATCTTCTAAATATGTCCGCAACTATATCAACAAGTAGTAATCTAAAGGAGCCATGTTTGGAGAATTCGCTGCATTGAAAAGTGTGAAGCCCAAGCTGAAGATTATTTCCTTGGTTGCTTCAGTTGCGTGCGGACAAGCGTTGTCATGAAGCAAACTCATTTTTGGACTGCATTTGTTCAGAATCTTCATCAGCTAAGAAGCTAAAATTTTTTTGTGCGAAATCTCGCAACCAATCTTTTAACTGCTTTATAACTTGATAGATTTTCACCATAAACTAATTTAATCATTTCAGTGGCTTCAGCTGAGTTTTTTCCCAGATTAAAACAAACTAACATTCATTGCGTGTTGACGTCAGTCTCGCAGCACTTTAATGTACGTTGAATGATATCTTGCAAGCAACTGAAACTTATACTGTATAAGCATCAAAATTATATACACCTAAAATTACTACAGAATTGAATGTAACAGGTATACTTTATACAGCAACAAATTTCAAGGTAGAGAATATATTTATAGACCTAATATGTTACAAATCGTTTTAAAAGAGTGCTCCTATGTGTCCATTTTATTTCACAACATATGTCAGTAACGTTTTTTTCGATACATACATTTATTTCCAATATATTTTGCAAAGAGGGTAACCTTAAATGTAAGTTTTTACATGAGTTTTAATCTCCACTAAGAGTAAAACTTTACATTTTGTGCATTTATTTCTATGCACATATAGTACTAATGTTAATCCTATCTTGGTTGTGACAATTAAATATTTACAATGAATTAACAATATATATACATTTACACACATACATATAAACATTTATATTTTAAAATTTAAGTCTAAAATGGTATATTTCAGTCTACTTGGTTCTTTAATAAGATGTGGTAAACCTATTGCGCGAAAGATCAAATGATAACTAAGTCGATCCAAATATCGCGAGCTGACTTTGTCAATTTCTTCTTTAACTTTGGGGATGCCTAAATCTTCGGGAATTCACACAAGGCCTGACACACTATCCTGTGTAATATCCGCATTGATTTCACAGAGCAGTTGAAAAAAAAGGTTGAAAGGTAGATAATAGAAATTCTAAAATTTTCTTTTAGAACCTGATTTACATAGTCATTGGAGTCTTTTATCGAAACGTTTCTCTTTGTTGTTTTTTAAACATGTGGTAGCATTCCAAATCTTGTGATCGTCGAATTTAAGTTTCTTATAAGAAATGATAACTGTTCGTTTTTAAAAACAAGTAAACGCTGTTTTAGTTCGCTTGCAGTTCGATTTAAATTAGTTTTATTAACTCCGATTTTATTTTGTTTCTCGATTTCTTAATCTGAATGTAAATTCAATTAGTGAAACGGAAGTAAGTTCAATTAGTGAAATGAGCTTTCGAAATAAGAAAAATATCAATATGACGTAAATGCAAAAATATTTTTGTTCTTCTTGTATGATTAGAAAGTTCTTTGGCACTCCATATGTCAATTCTTAGATTTGTTTCCGTAGCTTTGAAATTAGCATTGTTATCATATTAAGCAAGATTAGCTAACATAGTTTCAATTCTATCCATTTGATTAGAGTAACAATTATCGGTTTTCAAGGCTTCAGCATATTGTTTCGAACATCAGCCATTTGACAAAGTAAATTTGAATGAAAACTAACCGTTTCCTAGGAAACTGAATTCTAAAAATGCTACGACTAAATATACATTCATGGCGTTTTACCTGCCGGCGGTGCTAGTAATAGTTGTCAGTATGACCTTTTAAACAGCAAGTGGCCTCTTACAATAGTTCTTACTGTGGCCAAAAAGTTAGCACCTATAACATCGTAATATTTCAACAGTTTTTTTCCCTGTCGTTTAGTTGAGGATTCATCTCAATGTAAAATATACATAGGGACTCTTCTGTTGCCGTTTTTAGAACGTTAATAATGGTGCATACCTGATGTCCTAAAAAAATCAGCTCTGAGAACCGCAAAAAATTGGTTTTTAGTAGCTGATTGAGCACCAGTAATGTTTGAGCTACGAATTTCCTATGTCTGGTTTAGGGAACCTAGGATGACGTCATTTTAAGTTTCTAAGTTGTTTCCATTATTAACAACACATTTGTAACCAGTATCATCTTCATTACGTTTATAATCCATCGTGTTGTGTTAACTAAATCCGCGACATTGCTGAGAATAGCTTGCAAAATATGGTAAAATATTGTTTGAGTCGATTTTATCTTTTTTCCACCTACAACCTTTTTAATATATAATATATACTTTCCATGACACATTAGACGTCGTTCTAATTCCATATCATATTTAGATATTGCCAGCCCTTCAATTACGCCTACAGAAATTTCATCCTATTTTGGTAGGTTGTTTACTAGTTTCAGCGGTTTTAGTCACGATATTTTTATTTCCAAAACAATGGAAACATTCGAGTTTCGTGCTTTGTTTGAAAGTTGGAAAGTTTGAAAACTTTTATGGCAACCCTTCAATTTTCCAGCGCCAAACCCAATGAGGTGGTTGCACCAACAACATTCTCGACAATCGAAAATAAATGTTGCAAGATATAGTTGCATCTCACAGACATAAAAAAACAGTAATCATTTTTCATGAAAATTTGGGCATGAGAAAACTATTTTCTAAATAGGTACTCTGTTTACTCGCATTGGAAGGCAAAGGTCAACGTGGTTTTTTTCCTTTTTTTTATCATCAGGTCAGCGGATAGTACCTATGTATGCGGGCACTGCGATGGTCAAAGAAGATTGTAGGCGGGAAAAGAGAAAAAAGGGAATTAGTCTTTGTATGCGTTCGATTTCATCGTAGAAATATCTGAAAAGTTGGGGAAGACTGCTGATAGGTTATTCCAAAATTGATTATTGAAGGGAGCGTCAAAGATTCCACAATATAGGTATTATATATTCTCAATCGACATTAAGTTATGAATCGATTTATGCATGTTCGGCCGTGCAATGTCTATGTTAAAGATTCCTCTAACCGTCGAATTGAATGTTTTTGAATATGGCAAAACCATCAGAAAATATTGAAGATATTGCTATTAAGAATGGACAAAATCGATCAAAAGACACGACTACAATACCGATAAAAATTTCAAGCATGAAAACAACCATCCCCACCCACCTAATATTATCGAACTAGAAACTTATTCTTTCGCTTACTTTTTTTTTAAAAGTTCATGGTGGCTTTAAAAGGTTCTGCCACAGCCGAATATAATTTCTTTGCTTGTTTTTCATTACAATTTGTGTTTCTATATAGGGTTTGTCCAGTTTTTTATTTTGGATTTTTGGAACGATCAACTTTCTTATGTTTATTTTTGTTATAGTTACATTTTTATTTACATTGTTAATGAAATTAACACAAAATCAGTTCTAAAATGGAGCTTGCACGAATGCGTCTAACATCCAGAAAGGCTTAGAACGGATTTATGTTTAATTGTGCCGACGAATACAGGATCGATTGATGCATATCTGTTCGTCTGTACGTCCGATATCCGGCTATGTAATCGTGTGTTCAAACTACAGATTGCAATTTTTAAAATATTTTGATGAAATTTGGTGTCCTGACATGTTCCGGCACAAGGACGAACGCTATTGAAAATGGTTCAGACCACTATTTCGACTACTTTACATGAAAAAATACTGTTATTTTCAGAATTTCGTTAAATAATTGTGTTTCGGAATTCTAAATTGGTGTGAAAAATTTGGATCAGATGGGCCCGTATTTTAAATCCCCTGTCCTATAGAAAATGAACCTTTATATAGTAAAAGGGTCTAATTTTCAATGTCTTGATGAAAATTTGTTCATTATAATTTGACCTACAAATTAACCGTACCGAATTCTGACCACATTGGTAAACTTTTTGCATTTCATCCAATATAAGGGTTCTAATGGAAAATTTGTCTGGCAAAAATGTCAAGGTTTTGATGTAAAAGTCAACTTGATCAAGTAGATCATCATCGCATATAAGGATTATTACAAAACATTAAATCTTATATACCAAAAACGTCTACTTTTTAATATTTTACGGTGAAAATGAGCCCATGTCAACAATATAGCGTTGAATTAATCATACAAATTATGGATCACATAGATCTATCTTTTAGGCCATAAACAGGGACTCGTTAAAATCAGCTGCTTTTATGGCAACAAGGTCGAATTTGTTTTTATGACTGAAGAAATTAAAAGATAATAAACTCTTTGTAAATTAAGTTTGCTACGGTGGTTTGATGTATTGGCCATTTTATAATATGAAAAATATGCCTTTACATAAAAATAATGTAATTTGTGGTGTATTACGATGAAAATAAATAAATGGTTATTTATGGCGAATTCTGGAAACTGAATGTCAGCAGTCTTCAGCTCAACACTTAACATTCTTGTGGGATCTATTATTCCAGCTTTTTTTACAGTGAAATGTTTAATAGAATCTGTCAAATAATGATCCGGGAAATTTTTTTTCGAAGTTGAGGCCGTGACACTTTTTTCGCTACATTCATTTTTGCTTCGACTTTTAATAGTCCTCCGTGGGTTATAGAAATCCGTGTACTTCAGGAATGT